GGCCCGAACGACTCACACCAACAGGAGCCCGAATGACTCACACACAAAAGGGGGCCAGAACAACTCACACCAGGACGAGGAGCCTAAACGACTCACACCACGAGGAGCCCGAACGACTCACACACAAGGAGCGTCCCGAACGACTGACACCACGAGGAGCCCGAACGACTCACACACAAAGAGGGACATCCAAAAAGCACACCCCCTCCCCCCCCCTCCTGCCGACAAAGACTGCCGTTGAAAAACTCGGACCTGTTTTAGAAACACTGGAAACATTCCGAGTGAGGAAGCACATGGACACACAGCTCCGCCGACCGCTTGGGGTCTCGGTGGTGTGGAACAACATGGCACCGTGAAACGGCATACGCATGAGCACGCACCGAAACAGACCACGAACAACATCCTCCGACAACCAGCCCACCCCCAAAAGCGATCCAAAAGACCCCGCTACGATCCAAAAGGACAACTCCTGACCGAAAGAACGGCGCAAGATGGAGAGCGCCCCGTCCACGCCAAGACGGCCCGACGAAACCCGCCTTGCGCCCACATGCAGATATTCCGGCCACCTCTGGCTCGCTGGGAAGAACCAGAACAACCCATGAAGCTACAAAGACAACCACAAGACGGTTCAAGAGAACTCCAAAACGCACAACAAACCCGCCTGAACGCCGCGAGAAGCCTGCCAACGTTTCCAGTACGTCCCAAAAAATCCAAAACGGCGCAAAAAAAAACAGGTACCTCAGAAAATTGCCCCGAGCAGCAAACATCGTTCATTGTCTTTGGTGTCTTGAGTTTTCTGTTTGGCATTTTCCCCTTTTCAGCTGCCCGACGCTCCGAAAACCGCACCAGTGGGCCAAAAAGTCCCCCACAACGCTCCGAATACAAGCCAAAAAAAAAAACAGACGAACCAAGAGCGGGCCACAGAACCTTCCATGAAGCCCTCAACACTTGTGGGCCCAACAAACACCAATCCCCAAGAAACGCTTCAAAAGGCTTGCACAAACCGACCACACCCACCGCCAACCCCCGTAAGGCTCAAGCCCCATGCCTCGCGGATCGATCCGCTCGGAGACGTGCCGCGGAAAGCCGGGCGTCGAAAGCTCCCGCCGTGGCCACAAGACGGCTCCAAGATGGCCCACGAGTCCTCCTGAAATCCATCGGCGAGTGAAATGATGCCACCTCAGCAACCCCTTCCCCAAGGAACCCAGTACAAGGGATTTGGGAAAGGGAGGTCTCCCCCCAAGCGACGCAACGCACAAACAATACATGCATTTATTTGGGGTCGGCGGCAGAGGCGGCAGCCTTTAAATTATTATGGTTGTTGTTGTTGTTGTTGTTGTTGTTGTTGTTGTTGTTGTTGTTATGAAAATCTCACATCGAAAGAATCAGTATTGTTGATCACCCCAGCGCGGCGCACATGATATTTTTACAATTGAAACGTCCCTCTCGGGAATCGCACCTTGTTTTTCCCAACCATTATGTGGTGTTGGGTCCTCGCTTTGAAGAGACAGCGCCGCGCGTTCACTCCTCCCGCTGCCCCCTCCCTCCTCCCCCTCCTCCCTCCTTCCTGCGTTTCACCCACCCAGTGCACAGTTTCGTGGCCCCGTAGGGTGCTCCGCCGAAAGCCCCAGTGGCAAGGCCCGCAAGATCATTGAATTACACCCCTGGCGGCAAAATCTTCCAGAACGCTCCTGAGAGTACTGAGGTAATGACCATAGAGCATGAAGAGTAGTATAGGGAGTGGAGTGCGCTAGAACATGTTTGAGAAGGTCAACTATAGTGAAGACCAGAAAGGAAGCCAGAAAAGAGACCACACACGAATACTCTACCATACGGAAGGCCATACGGGGGACCATAGGGGAGACCATATGGGGAGATCATGTGGGAGACCATCAAGGGAGGCCACGGGCCACCGATTCTGGAAGATCTCAGCCCCCGCCTGGGAAGATACATATGTAAAGGAAAATACAGGAATCTTACAGGCAATCTGTTTAGGGGAGCACTTCAATTTTTTTCGTGATTTTCTTGTACTCGCCTGTCTGGTCTGACGAGCGTCCAAGACGGTCCAAAAAGGCACCCAAAAAGAACCCGAGAAGCCTCCAAGAGGGGGAACCCGAGAGCACCACTCGAGTGAAATGTCGTCCTCGGGGCGCGGGTGGGCGTCGGACGCGTTCAATATTTCTCGTGAGACGCGGGCGGGCGCAGCGCGCGTACCGAGGATAACATCTAACGCAAGCCTATCGTGTTGAATGCTGTACTCGAGGCCTGGGATGGCTTTGTCCACGAACAAAGCACGGTGGCGCGTTAGACCCCAAATTCAAAAAATGTACATTCGATCGTCTGGTAAATATTTCAGCGCATGGGATAATCTTGCGCACCAACATGTACATCAATAGTGCCATGCCACCTATCGTAAACGATCTATATTACGACATTCCAGATGTGAGAAGACGGAGAAATAGTGTACCATATCCGGGCATGCAATGGAACCGGTGATCACTTTTTTCCGTGCCCCAACTTGCTTTGAACTACCAATCCGAATCCGAACATCTCCAAGAACTGGTACCAACGCTTGCTGGGCAATCCGCCCATGTAAATCCTCCGGGAACCGTCGGACATTTAATATAGCACGCGAATTTTACGTCGATGTGCAAAAAGTAAGCCAAAGAACATTTATCGGAATACGCAAGCGGTAAAACTGAACCAACGCCCTGATAACATTTCACCAATGTCGGTCACCATATTTACTTCAGAATGCCAGGTGCCGGGGACATACCAAACGAACGCCAGACAAATAAGATATGCGGCCCGCAATCGATTTCCTCAGCAATGTTCCGGACAAGATACCACTGACTGTGACTGCCGATCGAGTTACCTTCGCCCAGCAGCACTATGTGTGGCACGTTGGAGGGCTGAAGCGAGTCTAATTAATTCAATACCGTATCGTCTGTGTCTAGCTCATGAAGCATCTGCGGGGACGGCGACCTTCACAACGAAACGATCCTGTCTGCTATACTGCGTTGTCAAGCGGGGACAACATCGTGGTACTGCGGGCGAAGGCGGAACGCCTTGAGAGTCCTTGCTGGCCTCCACGTGAAATACCTCGGCTTCAATCCAGTGTATAAGAATGATGCTGTGCACTCTCACAATTTATGCATTCGCGGCATTGCATGCGTCCCCTGGCCCTGTCGCTTCTTGGGACTTGTTACCGAAATCTGCTTCTAGGCTTGCGGGGGTTATTGAGGCAAAGGCGCCAGCCATACGTACCTGACGAGAAACTATATGTTTGATACTTTTACTCGCGTTCGATGGACATCTCGGAGTCCCATCGTCTGCGGGACCATTCCATCCAGGAGGCACTACTTTGAATAAGCACCGTTTAACATGGGATAACATATGACTGGTACCATCACATCTTCTGCATGCAGTATCTGTCACACAATCGCACCCAGTGTTGCGCCCTAAGCTCCACTACGCACTCCTTGCACCCATCCAGCACATGTATATTTTGCCTTAACCTCTCCCCAGGGTCTCAGTTTCGGCGGATATCTGGGCTTCAAGATTGCATGCTTGTTTCTAAGATGAGAGGCGAATCTGTGCAACAACTATCTTCTTTTACCAGTGGGCCACGCATAATCACTTCACTTCGTAGTGACTTGGTATCTTCGAACCCGCCTCCAGAACGCGCGAGGACGTGCTACCCCTGCTACGCCCTGGACGGTGGGGCGCATAGGGACCGCACACTGTGCGCATTCCTTCACTTGTCGAATAAGTGTTCCCTCTGCCATGCCCTGGACGGTGAAACGCCAAGCTTTGGTGTGAAGAACCCCGTCCGCACCACCTCCAGTGGCGAGGAAGTGCCACCCCTGCCACGCCCTGGACTGTGAAACACCCCCGACAGGAGTCCAAGACGGTCCACGAGGCTCATTAGATAGCCCAGAAGCCCCCAGATGGGCCCAAAAACGACCTGAAGGACCCCCCTCACAAGAGGCCCCCAAGACGGCGCAATCGGTCCCCAAGACCGCTCCAAAGACACCTCGAGAGGCTCCCAAGCGGTGTCCAACATTATACAAAAAACTCTTAGACGGCCCAGTGAGCCAGCAAGAGGCTCCCTTGACGGCCTGAAGCGACCCCAAGCGACTGCCAACACTGCCCAATGCCTCTGAGACGCTAGGAGGCTTCCACGATGCCACCGGACAATTCCGACGCCCCTGCCCTCCCCCCCAAGCCCCCAAGACGAGGAGCACATCCCTGAGATGCTCCAAAAAAGACTGTCGAGAGAACTTCCCAACATTAGGATGACACTACATTTGCTCTTGAGTGACTCCTTCTCCCGCTTCTCCCAATCATCGCCCCGTCGCTCGTCTCGTCAACTCTTGGCCACATCAGGCTACACAATATCACACACAGGCGTGCCAGGCGATACCCTATCGCACCGTACTGGGTGGGACCGCACGAGTTAGCCACTCATGCAGAGACGCAACCAAAACGACGAACGGACCAAGTAGAGCAGACCAGGGGAGAGCGAGCCACCCATGGGTCCACCGATCTGTCCCCCGCGGACTGCGGGCACAACAGTGACACAGGGGAACTCACAATTGGAACAACAAATCTTGGGACAAGCACAGATGGGGAACGGGGTAAAGGAGGCAGAGGCACAATAGGAGAAACAAAATCCTTGGATGATGGGGAGGTGGATACGTACAGATGACGAGTCTGATAATGAGCACGGGATGAAGATGATCATAAGCAGCCACTTGCTAAGCCGCACCTCTACATATTGTCAACTTGGTGCGCCCACACATCAGCAATCATATAAAACCAGGTCGGGCAATCAAGAACGGCCAACATGCACGATTCCAATCTTGGATATGCCCCCCCAGAGAACAAGTGTAACTACAGTGCTCTTAATGTATCCGGAGCTTCAAAAACGTCTCTCTGGTTCATAGGCTCTGGTTTCTGCTGCAGAAGTGACGACAGCGGTGCAAACTGAACCCTGCTATTACCGCAAATGCCATACATAGCCCCAATAATGAAGGGAAGGGGGGCTTGGGAAGGGGTAGCCAAACGAGAATGGCAAAACCTTCAATGGAGCTCTCGGGCGCTTAATCCTCCTCCTGGGGCTGGCGTGTACGCCGATGTACACGTGCTCTGCTTGTGCGCGCATAGTTACTAGTGCACAACGTACGCTAGCTGACAAGCATGTATCAACACATGCGGATGTGTATTCACAAGTGCGTGGAGCCCTCATATCATGCACGTAAGACTTCGTGCCCCGAACTCGATGTAGCAGGGCGCATCCAAACACAATTGCATATGTATGGCACATCAAGCGCACACTTTTACACACATGCATCAACAACCATATACATATATACTTACATAGTCATAGGCACATGTCTATATCTGCGATGTACTAAATACACAGACATACATACACACATACACCTACACATACATACATGTATGCATGCATGCATACACATACAAACATACATCCATACACATACGTACATATACCCATACGTCTTTAATACATACATACATACATACATACATACATACATACATACATACATACATATGCACACACATGTATCCACACATGTACACACATGCACACCTACACACATTCCATACATTACACACATGCAGACATCGCATACATACATACATACTTACTTACTTACTTACATAGTTGCATACATCCATGGCCACACACATGCGTATGACACCGAAACAATACTCAGCCATAATCTTTTCAGGGATGTAGGGCTATGGGGCTATAGGGCTATAGGGCCATGAGGCTATAGGTCTATAGGGCTATGGGGCCATAGGGCTATAGGGCTACAGGGCTATAGGCATATACAGCTATAGGGCTGTAGGACTATAGGGCTATATGGCTATAGGGCTTAAGGGCTATAGGGCCGTAGGCCTATAGGGCTATAGGGCGATTTGGGCTATATGGCAATTGGGCTATAAAGCTATGGGGCTATAGGGGTATAGGGCTATGGGGCTATAGGGCTATACGTAGTGCTACGGGCTATTGGGCTACAAACCTATAGGGCTATAGAGCTATTGGGTTATGGGGCTATAGGGCTATAGGGCTGTAAGGCTATAAGGCACCCAGGCACCTGGGCACCTGGGCGGGCCGCGGAAATCGGTGGCACATGCCACATAACCATATGCATCCGATAGGACCCCTACAGATGCAAGCTTTGATGTGGGAACATCCATACATACATACATACATACAAACATACATACACACATACATACATACATCCATACACACATACATACATACATACATACATACATACATACACACACATACATACATACATCCATACACACATACATCCATACATACATACATACATACTTACATACATACATACACACATACATACATACATCCATACATACACACGTACACGCATACACGCATACATACATACACATGTACATACCTACATACATACATGCATACGTACAATCACATACAACATACATACATACATACATACATACATACATACATACATACATACATACACACACATACATACATACATACATTCATACATACAGCACACAAACATACACATACAGACAGACAGACATACATACATACACACGTACATACATACGTACATACGTGCATGCGTGCATGCAGTCATACACATATGCACACATACACATACACACATAAGTTCACACATCCATCCACCCATCCATACGTACGTACGCACGTACATACATACATGCATGCATACACACATGCACACATATATACATATATACAGGTATATACAGGTATATTTATATATATACATATATATATATATATCTATATATATAGAGAGATGTAGCGTACACCCCCCGCAGACGCGGGCGGCAACCATCTAATTCAATTTTGGGCAGGTAGTTGGACACGCGTGCAATACATTCGCATTGGGGAGCCAGGGTCGCTCAGGGCAAGGACGAGCTGTGAGAATGCAGCCACCGTGTCGCTCCGAGGCGGAGCAGGCAAAGAGGCACCGGGTAACCTCACACGTATGTTTTTGCGCAGATCGAGGGTCGTTGTGTGCTTTCTCGTGGTGCTCCCCCAGTTCGTCCCCCCAGCTCATACGTGGACATCATCCCACCCCGCATTCTGAGCCGAACATGACCGCAAAAACTCCCGCATAGAGAACAACAACAGGGCGTCAAGCAAGCCGACTACAACGAAAGCGGCGGGAGCTGGCCTCGCCAAACCGTGCGGACAAACTCCCGGACGCTGGTTCCCGTGCCTCGCGCGGCGGACGAAAAGGTGGAATATCCGCCATGCGACCGCGGGCCAGGCACGGAACGGTCAGACAAAAAACCTCCGAGCGATCTTTGGGAGAGAGCGAGCGAAAACCAGAACAGCTCTGACAATGCAACTTCAAAATTCGAGACCTCCAGTCGGATCCAGCTCCCCGTGAAGGGACGGGATCCGTTACGTGGCCCCCATGGCGGCATTCGCCTGCGTCCGCCACGCCCAGTACATTGCTTTGTGGCCCCATCGGGGACTCCACCGAAGGCCCAAGTGGCGACGTTTGCATGCGTCCGCCACACCCAGTCTAGCGTTTCGCGGCCACAGAGCGAGCTCCATCGAAGGCCCCAGCTGCAACGTTCACATACGCCAGTCCCACCCAATGCACCGTTTCGCGGCCCCATACGGAGATCCACCGAAGGCCTCATTGGCGACGTTCGCATGCGCCTGCCCCATGCAGTGAGGTATTTCGTGGCCCCAAAAGAAACTCAACCGTGCCCCATGCAATGGCGACGTTCGCGCGTCCGCTCCACCCAGTCTACCGTTTCGCGGCCCCATACGGAGCTCCACCGAAGGCCCCAGTGGCGACGTTCGCATGCGTCCGCCCCACCTAGTATTGCGTTTCGTGACTCTATAGGGAGCTCCACTGCAACCCCCGTGGCGACGTTCGCATGCGTCCGCCCCACACATTACACCGTTTCGTTGCCCCAGACGGGAGCTCCACCGAAGGCCCCAGCGGCGACGTTCGCCTGCGTTCGCCTCACCCAATACAGCGTTTCACGGCCCTGATAAGAGCTCCACCGAAGGCCCTCATGGCGACGTTCGCCTGCGTCCGCCCCACCCACTACAACGTTTCGTATCCCCGTAGAGGCCTCGACAACATGCCACAGTGGCGACGTTGGCAGGCGTACGCCCCGCCCAATACACCGCTTCGTGACCCTATGGGGGGCCCTCCCCGAAAGCCCTAGTGGCGACGTTCGCATGCGTCCGCCCCACCCAGAACAGCGTTTCGTGGTCCCATACGGAGCTCCACCGAAGGCCCCAGCGGCGACGTTCGCATGCGTCCGCCCCATCCACTACAGCGTTTCGTGGCCCTACAAAAAGGGGCTCGACAAAATGCCGCAGTGGCGGCGTTCGCATGCGTCCGCCCCACCCACTATACAACGTTTCGTATCCCCGTAGGGGCCTCGACAAAATGCCACAGTGGCGACGTTGGCATGCGTAAGCCCCACCCGATACATCGCTTCGTGGCCCTATGGGGGGCCCCCTCCGAAGGCCCTGGTGGCGACGTTCGCGTGCGTCCGCCTCACACAGAACAGCGTTTCGTGGCCCCATAAGGGAGCTTCACCGAAGGCCCCAGTGGCGACGTTCGCATGCGCCCGCCCCATCCACAACAGCGTTTCGTGGCCCTACAAAAAGGGGCTCGACAAAATGCCGCAGTGGCGGCGTTCGCATGCGTCCGCCCCCCCCACACATTGCATGGTTCGCGGCCCATTAGTGAGCTCCACCGGAAGTCACCCGCCGCGACGTTCGCATGCGTCCGCCCCGCGCAATACAACGTTTCGTGGCCCCATGGGCGGCTCCACCGGAGGCTCCAGTGGCGGCGCCCGCATGCGTTCGTCTCACCCACTACAACGTTTCGTGGTCCCATAAAGGGGAGCTCCACTGGACGCCGCCATGGCGACGTTGGCATGCGTCCGCCCACCCAGTACAGCGCTTCGTGGCCTCATAAGGAGCTCCACAAAAAAGGCCACAATGGCGATGCTCGAATGCGTCCGCCCCACACAATACAGCGTTTCGTAACCCCATAGGGACTCAACCGAAGGGCTCCCGCGGCGACGTCGGCATGCGTCCGTACCACCCAGTACAGCGTTTCGTAGCCCTATAGGGCACTCCACCGAAGGCCGCAGTGGCGACGTTTACATGCGTCCGCCCCGCCCAATCCGTGGCCCAATAGGGAGCTGTACCGAAGGCCCCAATGGCAACGTTCGCATGCGTCCGCCCCGCCCAATACAGCGTTCTGTGGCCCCATGGGGAGCTCCACCGAAGGCCCCAATGGCGACGTTCGCATGCGTCATCCCCATGCAGTACGGTATTTCGTGGCCCCAAAAGGAACTCAACCGAAGGCCGCTGTGGCGACGTTCGCATGCGTCCACCCCACCCAATATAGCGTTTAGTGGCCACGCAGGAAGCTCCACCAACAGCCCCAGTGGCGACGTTCGCGTGCGTCCGCCCCACCCAGTATAGCGTTTCGTGGCTCCATAAGGAGCTCCACTGCAACCCCCGTGGCGACGTTCGCATGCGTCCGCCCAACCCAATACAGCGTTCCGTGGCCGCATGGGGAGCTCCACCGAAGGCCCCAGTGGCGACGTTCGCATGCGACCCCCACCCATGTCGGCACACCTCTCATGCGCCTCGTGGCCCCATGGGGAGCTCCACCGAAGGCATCAGTGGCGACGTTCCTGCGCGTCCCCCCTGCCCTCTCATACGTTTCGTGGCACCATAGGGAGCTCCCATGGCGGCCCCCGTGGCGACGTTCGCATGGCGGCCCCGCCCCATGCTGGCACACCCTCACACGTTTCGTGGCCCTATATGGGGGGGCGGGGCGGGACTATACGCAAGGCCACGCTAGCAACGCCCGCATGGCCCCGCCCCATGTCGGCACACCCGTTCCACGCCTCCTGGCCCCAAAAGGCACGCATGCTACAACAATTAACTCTCATATGCCTGCGTGTCCTTTGACACGTATCCCTCGTGCTCCGGAAACGCTGTTCCGGAGCACGCTGGGCAAACACGTCCATGGTGCTAAGGTGTGCGTCTCGCCTGCCTCGTCGCTATCTGTAGCCATCCGACCCCCGCAGCTTGCCTGCTTTGCAAACCTGCGCGCCGCCACGCTGCATCCGGGCAGGCCGTGCTGACCGGCGAGGGGGAGGCGGGCGAGGAGGAGGCGGAGGAAAAACGCGGCGAGCTGACATACCCAATCAGGAGGAGAGGGGGGAAGGGCAAGCTAGGTGCGCGCGCGTCATATCTGACGTCCTACCCCTCCCTCCCATCCCTTACCATGGCGCCGATTTTCTCTATCCGCGGACTGGTGGGTGGTGGTGCGCGTGCGTGCGTGCGTGCGTGTGTACGTGGTTGTGGTGGTGGTGGTGGTGGTGGTGGTGCTGGTGCTGGTGGTGGTGGTGGTGTTGGTGGTGGTTGTGGTGGTGGTGGTGGTTGTGGTGGTGTTGGTGGTGGTGGTGGTGGTGGTGTGTGCGTGTGTGCGCGTGTGCTGTGGCATGTCACGGGAAATGACGCCAGCGCTGCAGCGGGAACACGAGTCGAAACGGGCGGAAGCGCGGAAATGACGCCAGCGCTGCAGCGGGAGCACGTTTCGGAACGAGCGGAAGCACGGAAATGAGGCCAGCGCTGCAGCGGGAGCACGATTCGGAACGAGCGGGGCCCGAAAATGAGGCCGCGGCGAGAGCAGCATTTTGGAACAAATGCAGGCGAAAACCAAACTCCCGGGAATCCTGTGTGTAAAAAACAATACGCGAGGGGGGGTCTAATACTTTCAGGCCGCCATCGGGGGAAGAGGGAGAGTAGTATTCAGATTGAATAATTGTAGACGGTAAGTGAGCAGCAGGCAAGCACGCGCGACGGGGGCGGGCGGGGGGCGGGGGGGGCGAGGGTCGTCGGCGGCGTGCGGGTGGTCGTCGTGGGTCGCCGTACCACTGGGGGTCGTCGCGGGTCGCCGGGGGAGGGGCGGAGGGACGTCGTGGGGCTGGGGCGGAGGGCCGCCAGGGGAAGGGAGGGTCGTCATGGGGCTGGGGCGGGGGGTCGTGGGGCCGGGGCGGGGGGTCGTCGGGGGCAGGAGCGGAGGGCCGTCGCGGGGCTGGGGCGGAGGGTCGCCGGGGGGAGGGGCGGAGGGTCGTCAGGGGAAGGGAGGGGCGGAGGGCCAGCCGGCGCCGACGGCGACTCACACGGCGTCGGCTGCGGCCGCCGCCGTGGCCGCTGCTAGGCGCGCCGCCGCCGCGCCCGTCGACGGCTGCAGCCGCCGCAGCACCGCCCGCGCGTTCTGCCGATGAAAAGAGATTCAGAGTCGCTGGGCGTGCCGGTCCGCCACTACGGCGGCTTCCTCCCCGGTGGCGTCAGCCACCCGCTTGGCCAAGATCGCGAAAGCCCTCCTGGCCTCGCGCCCCCACCCGCCACCGTGGGCCTCCACCGCCATGGGTATGAAGGTGAGGCCCTGCGCCGCGCACTGGCGCTCGGTGTCCTGATGCAGCCGCTTGAACTCCTCGTAGCGCTCCGTGGCCGCGCTGGGGGGCGCGGCGGAGGCGGGGAGGAGGTCGGCGCGAAGCCCGGGAGTGACGGCGAAGTCCCAGGCTGCTGGCACCCCGTTGCGCCACCTGGGCAGGTAGACGTCAGCGGGGCGGCGGTCGCCGGCGTCCGAGTCCTGCCAGTCCAGCTCGCCGCCCGGCGGCCCCTCGTTGGCGCCGCGCGGTGGGAGGAGCCCTGGCCGCTCGAGCTCTGCCCCCGCGAAGCCGGCCGCCTGCGCGTCGAAGAACCCCTGGTTCCGGAGCGCGTTGTGCCGCTTTGTCCTGTCGCCCCGGCAGGAGCAGGCAACGGCGTGGTCCAGCCAGACGTCCATCACCTCTCCGCAGGCGGGGCAGAAGTCCTCCCGGTCGAGGAACTGGGCTCGGAGTCGTCGCTGAATCGCCACCTGGCAGAGGCCGTGCTGGAGGCGGGTGCCCGCGGCCTCGCAGGGCAGCGCTCGGAGGTAGGCGCCGGCGCCGGGCGCCTGGAGCAGGCTCAGGTGCGCCTGCGCGGCGACCGAGGCGCCCGAGCGGAGGCCAGCGAGCGCCGCGTCGTCAACGGCGTCGCTGAGTTTCTGCTGGTTGCCGTGCTGCTCCGGGTCGAAGGCCACCCTGTCCGCGTCCGAGACGAGTGCGTTGTGGGCCTGCGCAGCGTTCGCGAGCGCGCCCCCGTCGTGCCCTGCCTCGTCGGTGTAGCCCA